GCTTTTGGTTTTGGGGTTTTTTTGATTGTTTTTTTTTTTATGTGGTTTTTGGTTTTGTTTTTGAACTGTGACAATAAAAGCGCTGGCCATCGTTCTTACTTCGCAAAACGCCAAAATGTAACCGAGTCACAGCGACCAACGCGTAATTTATTTTTTTTTGTTTGGTTTTTTGGTCATAAGATATTTCGGGTTCCCCAGGGGCTGGGGAAAGGTCTGGTGCACCCCGAGTTTCTGACGTGTTGCATTTCTGTGCGTGTGTGCCTGTATGTGCCAGCAGAAAATCCCTCTATCCTGGAAGAATGGTGAAACTGGGGAATAATTTCAGCGAGAAGAGCACAAAGCAGCCCCTTTTGGAGGATGGATTTGACACCATCCCCCTGATCACACCCCTGGATGTCAATCAGCTCCAGTTCCCACCTCCTGATAAGGTACATTAGGCTTTAGTTTCCACCCTGGAGAATCACACCCAAATCTCAGGCAAACAACAAAAGAATGGGTTACGTGTAACAAGCAGCTTAAAAATGTTAAGAAATACGAGATGTTTTAAGTCATTCTACTTCCTTCTGGGGGAAAAAAACCCACCTAACAGTTAAGCTAATGAAAATCCGGTAGTAGTGATTTACATTAAGAAGCAGTGGGAAATGTTAGCAATAAGCATATATAGATTTCAGTACTGCTGTATGAAGTATACATATGAAATAAAAATGCAGGCTTCTTTATGGGGTACTGTTGTAGCCCTTCCTATTCTGTATCTTTTCTTTTTTGTATCTGGAAGGTACTGTGTATTCTCTGTGAACGACATGAATTTTCTCTGTCTAGAAAATGCCTCCCTGATGGGGGGGGTAAAGCACAGCTTTATTTCTCTGCAAGATGTGCATGGTCAGACTGGCCACAGAGAGAAAGAACTTCCATATTCCTTCTCTGCTTCAGTAGGAAATTAGTGCTAGCCCCAGACAAGCTGAAATACTGATGTGAGAACAGGTCATTGAGCTTTCTTATTGGCAGTTTATTTGGTTCAAAATCCTCCAAAGAGGTGATTCACATGCTCTGTAGTTCGAAGGGGACAGTCCAACATGCTGCTTACAGGTTGGAAGGGAAGTGTGCATCCTGCATTCCTCATTATATGGCTTGATTACTGAAGATTTGATGTTATGGATTTAGGAAGGTGATGTAATAGCCTGTAAATATGTTTATTTTCCTCACAATAAAGAATTCAATAAGTATTACTACAGGTAAGGCATACAGTAGTAGGATACTTTTTCACATACTTCAGTATCCTATTTTAGTATGATACTTACTTACATGTTTCTCACATGTGAATCTGGCAAAAGAGCTTTGCAGTCTTTGAAAAATACAAAATTTAACTGGGAGATGGTCAGTAATATTTTCATGCTGATTTTTATTTTTTGGTATTGTGTCTTCCATGAGCTCAGTTCTACTTCTAGATAAACTGATAACTATATGTTCCTCATAGCTCAAAAAAATTCACATAATCTTACCTTGGGGTAAAGAATTTTAGCTTGTGAAATTTGCCTTGGTAGAGTGTTGCTTGTAGGCAATACAAATAAATTTGTGACCTCCATTTTAATTACTATCAACATCATTCTGTGTTGTCTGTGGTGACCAGTTGGCAGGCATAAATGCAATAAGCCATAACATCTGTTAGAGAGCCTGAGGGTCCATTTTCTGCCCTCACTTACATGGGTGTAAATCTTGTAACTGAGGACAAAATTGCACCCTAAGGCTTTAAAACAAGTTAAGTCTTACTGTGTCTGATACGCCTGCCAACTGGTGACTGGATATAAGGGATTACCAAGGACCAACGTCCAAAGGAATTTGTTATGTTACCACACTGCTAAGTGGAAGTCTGAACTAGGGACCTGTATAGTAATAGGTTTAACCTGAGCAGAGCCTCTGTAGTGAGCCCAGAGATTCTGCCAGCCTGATTGCTGCTACTAGAATGGAGTGGAACTCCTCCCACCTGCCTGGCATTTGCCTTGAACAAAAGCAAATGTACAACTAGGCTAGAAGCTTAAATAAAGGAATATTTGATTGGCTCTTCTACTCTTTCCACTGTCTGTTTGTATATTAGCTTTCCTTTCCTTCCCTATTGCAAACACAGAGGGGGAAAAAATAAAAATGTGTATTTATTGGTCATACTGGCTTCCTTCTGTAACTGTTCTGGTTAGTCATGTCAGTGTGTCTACTGGTTGCTACAGACCCAAACGTGGTAGCAGAGCAACTGATGTGAAAAAACCCCCCACCGTATTAAGTCAAGACTGACACACAGATCAGATTCTGAAATATGAAGACATGCATGTATAATGAATAGGAGTACATACTTTGTGTATCTATGCTTATTACTCACTTACAAGGCTCCAATATGGCAGTGAAACATAACTTCTTAAACAGTAGTGACTACAGTGCTAAGAATTTTATGATTTTAACAGCTTCTAAATTAAACAGATGCACTGATTTAAATTCATATTTAGGTGTATTAAACAAAAGAAGACATTACATAACCAGGCAGATAGAACTGTATGTTCAGTGTCAGCTGAATGTGATTTGAGTTGCCTGAGATTATGCAATGTAAAGTAGGGAGGAAGGGAAGTAAAATGTTAAAAAGTATTCCAGAAATTTTCAGACTCCCATGATGCTGTTGGGCATTTGTAAAGTTAAATAGTTAATAATTATTATCTTACTAATTATAGCTGAAAATTGGTAAAGTACTTTCTAAACCTATGTGCTGCACATATATGTGTAATGCTGTAACAGTGTCTAATAAGCTTTGTTGTACTGAGTCTAGGTCCAGTTACACATTCTAGATACCATTTCAGGGAACTGAGGAGAGGGAAACCCAAAGCTTTAATTTCAGTGCTTGGCTACTTGTACGTGTCACAGTCTTAATTTCAGAATAAGGTAATTGCTATTGATATTATGGACTGCGTTAAAGATAGAATCTGGTTCTAACAATCTAAAAGAGTCTAGATATTTGTTCTTTGGAACAACAGAGAAAACTGAGCAAATCTTCGTATTACTGTCAGTATGATAAACTGCACCCCATCTTGAGGGTGATACTTTGAAAAAGATCCTGAAATATAGCAGAAGACAAAAATGAGGCAAATAGGTTAGGTATGTGAAAATTTTGTACACTTAGAATGCCTGGGAGAGCACTAGAGATACGACTGACGTAGTTAATATTTTAGGAATACAGGTAAGGTGCTAAATTGTGTAGCTTGGGGTAATAGCTCATAGCAAGGAATAAACTGAAAGAGCCTTGGGTGTTTCAAGAAATCTCATTAACACAAGGGTTTGTCTGCATCTTGCTGCTTGCAGCTGATAATTCAAAAGTTAGATGTTAAAAATAAGAGTGCCAAGAGCTATAGTTTAGCACATAGTGAATAGCAACTAGATGCGTCATTTCACTTCTTTTAAACTCAAAATCCTGCCTTCAAAGAACATAGCTGCTGGCAGCATCATCATCTGCTAGATTTCTATGGGCACTCTTTGATAATCTTCTCATCCTGTTGGTCTCCAGTTTGAAATCTCATTAATGGGATCTCCTGAAGCAAATGGAGGTGGCTATTTTCAAACTGTACAAAGTGGGAAGTTTCATGATTGGGATTTGAACTAAGTAGATACTTGCCTAGTAGAGCAGCACAGTACCACCACAGCTGAAAAAATTGAACGTTTGTAAAACTGTTGCATAACAAGTCTGTCTGTAGGTCCATCAAAGCCACTTTGAGAGATAATTTGGTTGATGATTGCTCTGACAGGAAAAGTAACTAAACTTCCAAAGAAGAATTAGACTGAAGTGGGGAGGGGGAAAAAAAAGCTGTGCTAGATGTGCTTGTAAGCAGGTAAGAGAAGAGTTAATGAATAAATTATTCCTGTGGCTAGTTTAGCTGACAACGTTTTGATTATTTTTTTTTAAAGGTTGTGGTCAAAACGAAAACAGAATATGAACCTGATCGCAAGAAGGGAAAGTTCCGTACTCCTAAAATAGCTGAATTCACGATCAGTATCACTGAAGGGGTTTCAGAAAGATTTAAGGTAAGCAGTGCTATCTGAAGATGTTAATGACTCAGTTGTGTTCACATAAATGCTTAAAATCAATTGCTGATTGTAGTCAAAACTAGCTATAACTAAGAGTGGCTGTTGTGGATATAGCTGGATATGAGAAAAATAAATTCAGTGTTATTTAGTATTGTTCAGCATTTTGTTTAGTATATGTTCAGTATTTAGCAATTAGAAGCAAAAGGAAATCTTGCAGCATTATTGCTTGTAATCCCTCACTGGCAGATGAATTCAGAAGGCACTTTGGTCGGCGTGTGGGTTTCAGAATGTGGCTGGCCAGGGTGTATGTGGGCTGCATGCAAGTAGCTCTCATGGCATGGATAAAGCTCCTGTTATTGTTGAAGGACAAGAACTGTAAGAGTATTTGTTTTCTTTCTGACTTTTCATTTTTCACTGTGGCTAAACCATTCTCTTAAAAGCACTGTCATAGTCCATTATGTATTTTTTTAATAGTTAAATGTGTGATTTGGCAGCTCAGGGATGTATATCAAAGCTCTTTGCTATCAGTTTTTCTGGTCCAATTGTATCTTACAGCTCAGTGATGACTGTTACCCACAGGTGACAGTTCAGCAAGCATCTGACTCAGATTTATTCTTTAGTCTCCACACCCCTGTTACTCCCTTCAGTAGTCCCAGAGGAAAGCTGAGAGCTTAACTTGTGCAAGGACTGAATTACCTTTCCCCTTTCTTACTGGAGGATAGATCTTCTTGGTCTGTGTAAGTAAAGCAAAGTAAGAAAGTTGACACTTCAGCTTGTGCTTTCCTACCTATTTTCTTAACAAAGGAATACTACAGCTTTTCAGTGCTGTTAATTTGGCATCTTACCCAAGGATGCTAAAGCATTTTTAAACGGTAAGCAAACACACTGTTCAGTGCACAAGTACAAATACATTTGGAAAGCCTAACGTTTAGTATGAGGGAAAAATACAGAGTTTCAGTGAAGATGGGGGTTCTCTTTATATTACAGACTTCTGATCTCTGTTTGCATGATAGCAATTTTAGGGCATACCCAAAGATGGTAGTTCTGTTGTGCCTGACCAGTGATTCTAAAAGCTGCCTAGACCCAAGCCTGCCTTCAGAAGTGTATACACAGCCCTCTGTGGAATTGGAGCATGCTAAACAAACTAAGTGAAGGCTCAAGGAGGGGTTAGGCGCTTTAGGCGATATTTGCAAAGGAACTTTGCAGAGTGTTGCCAGGACAAACTTTTTAAGTGTAAGTCACCTGGTGGGGTCTTCAGCCCTACAGTGAAGCATGTAGGTTCCCAGTAATCTGTGTGGGGAACCACCTCAGATAGCTACTAAGAGATGTTATGGGGTGTGGCAGGGATTTACTAAGGAGGTAAGAAACCTAGTTCCAGTTTTTCTATTCCCTGATTTGGAGCAAGGACATCCCATCCCTCAGGGAAAATGCTACATTCTGGCTCAAGTTCCCTCTTTCTCCTCTGGTACCATAGTACGAGTCCTTGAGAGTAATACCCTTCCTTTCAGGTGAGGGTTGTGCACACTATATTGTTGGCTAAGATGCAGATGGACAGCTCAGAACAAGGAGGGCTTACGTCTGGCTGTCTTTTGTGTGTGTCCTGGTCACACTAAGGTAATCTGAAAATGCTTGCTACATTGTAGAAGAGAAAGGGGAGAAAGCCTTTAGTTTGAGTACGCTGCTATAACTTGGGTTCCAAGCAACTGAGCAGAACCTATACCTGAGAAATTTTGCACTTACCCAGTAGCTGTAAGGAGTAAGAGATTTTGTTGCTCAAACATTAAATCGTAGATAAGGAAGGGTTTTGAATATCTTAGTTGCATCTAAATGTTTTGTTTATCCCTTTGTAGATCTGGGTTCTTTCTGTCTTTGTTGGGAGGACTGAGCGAATGAGACCTTGCTGAACAAAGAAATAGCTTGTTGTGCTGTTGAGGAGTATTTTCTAATTGTTATAGCTGAACAATTAGAAGACTGGGCATTTTTGCATTGCATTTTTATATACCTTTGAATGGCATACTTAAAGAAAATATCTTTTAGATATTACTTTATGATGATCGCTCTGGGATTAATCTCATGCTACAGGGTTGCTAGGTTTTGCTGCTAGGTAACTACTGCATCAGAAAGAGGTTTCAGTAAGATTTGGTATCTCTTGGGAATTGCAGGGTGATTCATACCATGGCTGTAAGTCTAGGCTTCTGAAGAAGAGTGTGGGTGTTGATCAGTTAGGAAAATTGTGATTCAGTTAATTGAAAACAATAGTTTCATGCAGAACATTCGGGTCCTAAAAATGTCCCTTAATCTCTATATAACAGTTTTAGAATTGAATTATGCTGCTTGCAACGTTTTAAAGAGAATTGACTGGTTCTCCAGCAGGGTTGATTGTCATATTCACCACTCCCAGTAGTAAATATTACATGAATAATTGATGAAATTTCATAAATATGTAGATGAAAAGTACTGATTGTGTGAGGCTTTCTCTTGGGTCCTTATTAATTGTGAACCATCATGTTAACTGCTGCAGTTGATTCTGAGAGAGCAAAAGGATATTTGTTTGAAAATTAAATATTTGCTATAATTATGAAATGCATTATTTAACTGGTGGAATATTGACTTTGGCTTGTGTTCATGAAGAAAGCTTCAGATGCTGTTTTAATGACTTTAATATTGTACATGACTGATGCATAAACTTGCCACAAGACACAGCCCAAATGTTGTGCTAAAAATAAAAAAATCAGTCATATTTACAGATAGTTCACGTGTGTATTCTAAGACGTATTTCTTAAATAAGGACAAAGCAGATTGCATTTTTGGGATTCAGCAGTGCAGATCGTCTAAAGCTGTTCTTGACAAATTATACATTATAACAAATGAAGCAGCTCCAGCATGTGCATATGTCATGTAGATCATTTGGTGTTTTAGCAGCTGGGTGAATAAGAAATTATAAAACATATTTTCTGCATTCAATCCACATTACCACAGTTATTACAACAGAGCTGAGAATGTTTACAAAGAAAACTGCAAGTATAATTTTCCTGTATGAAGCCACATTCTGAATTCAAATCAGAATCTGCCAGAAGAATGTGAAGACTTCCCGATTCCGAGAACCCTGTTGTCTTAAATTAGTTTTATGGCACTAACCACACCAAGGAAGATGTAATTTTTCACTGAAGATTATTTTTCATTGAGAAACAGAAGCCTTCATTTTGTTCTTTGAACACTGTAGGCTAATGTAGGGAGTTGGTCCTTCACATCTGGAAAGCAACTTTGAACGTGGCAGATTTTTCTGTCCTGTAAGTTGTCTGCTCTACAGAATAACAGAACAAGGCTGGAAATGTCATTTCGAAGGAGTCTTATGAATCAGGACATAGGAGGAAGCTATTGCAGGAGAAAATTGATTGTATCAGTTACCTAAGGCCAAACCTTTGCCTCCTCCATTGACAGAGCATCATTTTTACAAACTCCAGTTGGATTTTGTAGTGCGATGTCTGTTCTGGCACCTGTTTAATTGGGCTACAATTGACAGTTGTGCACAAACGTACCAGTTAAAAAAAATGTCTGTTGTATCAAAGCATGAGATTTTTTTTCTGTATTTGGGGAAACCTGAACAAAGAACATTCAGAAGTATTTTGAAAGCAAACACTTATGTTTCCCGATAAATTTCAAGCCCTTAAATAAACCCAAGCTGTGGTATGCCTTCAGCCATTTGGTTCTATTCAAAGGCAATTCAGTTCTTCAGACTTCATCCTTGACATCTAACTGCAGAGCCAAAGCCTCAAGCTGATTTCTGTGGTAGGACCATATGGTGCAAGCCATCTACTATCAAGCAGCAAGCAGTTGTTGAAACGTCTGCATGTGGTTGTAGAAAGGGAATCAAGATTTCCTTTCAAAATCAATTCTCACAGTTTTACCTGGTCATTTTAAGACTGAAAAAATGTATGCAACATATATTTAAATATTCCATTTTTGATCTGTATTAAAGGGGCATCCTTTGAAACATTTCTGCCCCAAGACCTTTTTTACCTGTTCTTAGTAATACCAATGATAATTATTGCTGCAGAAATAATCAGAGACAAGGAAAATATTTCTCTCTTTGTTTCTCTGTGATTACTCTGTGTGTTGAGTAACTGTTTGCTCCCACTTAAGAAGTCTGTTAGGTGCATGAGATGTCAGCTGATTCCTGTACAGGATATCACTTCCTTAAGTATATTCTGTGTCTGTTCCTTAGTGCTGGAAGAGTGACAGGTACTTACTGCCATGAGTAGTTCTGTTTTCTTCAGTAGAACTACTCACAGGATTAAAGTTGCTCACAAGTATAAGTGTTTGGCAGGTTTTGAATTTTTCCTTCAAGGAATTATTGCTTCAAGGAAGAAAAATAAAGGAGATTCTTCTCTCAGTGTAACTGCTATTTTAAAACGATGTAAGTAAAGGCACTGCATGGCAACTGTCATTTTTCCATTTTTTAAAATGTTTGATAATTCTCTAATATGACATTGACAATCCTCCTGCTAAATTTTTGGCGAAAAGGAATTTTTTTACAGTTAGAGCTGGAAGATTTAAGTAAAGTGGATGCCTAACAGCAGCTCCCCTGCTCCAGGTCAGGTGTCCTTTGCTATTGTATCCATTAGAAGTCTTTTCTTGGAGCAGAACCTGCGACACTGGTGACACAGAAGATGTTTTGGATCTCTCCAGATTTAACACTTACATAGCCTTTCTTCTTCTGTAGTAACCTTTTCCAGCCTTTCTCCTGGCCTCAGTAATATCTCCTAGGTTTTTATGGGAATGTAGCAAGGTTCTTGTCTCAGGGTCACAGGGTTTCTTGAACTGTTTCCTCAGATCTCTGTAGTTAAGAAACTAAAACATGGTAACTTGTGATGGAAGATGATGGGAACACTGCCATGAACAGCTTGTTAAGCCATGGTGCTAGACTCTCGAGGCCACTGTGTTGTTAACCTGTTTTTGTCTAACAGTATCTCCCTCAGGTTTCATTAATTGACTCT